TCACGTGCTATCCTCAATAAATAAAGTCTTCTTCTTCTTCTTCTTCTTCTTCTTCTTCTGTCTTTTAAGAAGCGGGCCCAAAGACCTACAAGACCCTCGAGGCAATTGCTGTCGAGGTGAAGATAGGAAGCAATGATTTGTTAGTTCTGTCAATCTACAGGCCCCCAAAACAGAAAAGGAAGGGAAACGAGTCCAGCCTTCAGGATCTTAAAAGTGTTGAGGAGGAGCTTAACCACATCTGTCAGTGGGCGTGGTTCCAAAAGCAGTCTGTCATCATTTTAGGTGACCTTGATCTGGACAGATTGAGATTGGATCGTGCTGAGGGGAAACTTCTGAAGGACCTGGAAGAAGTCAATAATCTACGGTGCATGATAACTGAACCCACTCGAGTTACAGCTCACTAGGAGTCACTTTGGACGTTATTCTAACCAACAATCCTGAACTGTTCAAGAAATGCGGGGTTTATCAGCCAGAAATGAGTGACCACCATATGGTGTTTGGAGAAATGATGGAGAAAGTCCACAAACACGAGACTCGCACTACCACTTTCCGGCAGACAAAAAGTACTGATTTCGAACAGCTTAACCGGGACTTGGAGGCTGCCCCCTGGCATGTAGGAGAGATTTTTTTGTAATGTGGACGATCAATATGATTATTGGAAGGGACTGTTTGAGAGCGTTGTGGATCAACACGCACCCACTAAAAAGAAACGAGTCAGGGAGAAAGATATACCCTATATGACTCCAGAATGGAAGCAAGCCATTAGAGATAAGAGAAAATTTGCAGTTCAATTTGCAAAGGATCGCTCTCTTGAAAACTTTGAGCTCAAACGAAAATACAGGAACATTGCAACACGGGAACGTAGAAAGGCAATAAAGGCCTACTGGTATAGAAAATCGGAAGAGCTGAAATCTAAGCCCAGCGAGTTTTTTAACACATTCAGGCCATTCATCAGTACAAAGACAAAAGACACCAATGCTATATGTTTGAAATCTGAAGATGGCGAGGTCGAGAAAGAC